TTTGGTTAGCAGCCAAGCTCTTAACCACTGAGCTATCGGGGCTCCAAGCCCATATTAAATGTGAAATAAAGTTCCTGGGATATCTTCTCAACATCAACAGAAAAAAACCCTAAGGGCAGGGATAGGAGGGCACTTTACTGTAGACTAAGTGAATTTTTCAAGTAGTCTAAGGTCCATCAGGTGGTGAGGAGTTTGTTACTTTACGTTCATTATTTCACGTCAGGTGAATAGAAAAGTATACTGATTTACTTTATAATATGTAAAATATGTAATATAATTATTTTATAGTTCACTTGATAGCCCGATAATAAATTCTCATATTAAAAGAAAAGCAAAGAAGATAAAAGAAAACCCTCTTTCAAGCTTTCATCCCCCTCAAGCTTGCCTTCCCGTTATTATCAAACTACTGGAATATCAGACCACTTGAAAGAGTAGCCCAAACCTCTTCTCCATCCTCGCCATCCTTTCATTTCTGGAACAGTGACTTCTCCCTTCTCCTCCACTCCACGAATGCTGCCTTCTTAGATTACCCTAGTGATTTTCTAATCGTCAGATCCAGGAACTCTTCTCTTTTGTGTCTTCATCTTATTTGACCACTTCAAAACGTTCTTCTCCTTTAGATTTTGTGACATTAAAATGTTTCAATTCTCTATCTCTGACTGCCTTTTTCAAGATTTCTTTTGCAATTCTTTCTGCCCACACCTTAAACATTGATGTTCTCTAGGGTTCTTTCTATCTGACTATCTGTCTTCTGGAACTTTTCACTTGGATGTCTCTCAAACATCTCAAACTTAGTATATCCAGAGCTGATATCATTGCCCTTTTGATATTGCCTTGTCCACATCTGCCCTTCCTCCTCTACTTCCTGTTAATGCTACCAGCAGCTATTCAATTGCCCAAGTTGGAAACTTTGGAGACATCACTTTCTTTAGATTGCTGTCAAATGTTTCTATATCATAGAAATTTTCCCTAACTTCCCCTATACAAAATGGCAATCCTTCCCCAACCCCAGCACTGTCTATTCCTTTGTTCTCCTTAGCACTTATCACCATCTGACACACTAGTTACTGATTTATTATCTGTTCTCCCCATAAGAATGGAAGCCCCATGAAGGCAGGGACTCTATTTTGTCCACTGCTATATCCTCAGTGTCCAGAGCAGTGCTGGATACTTAGTGTCAGACACTCCATAACTACCTCTTGAATGAATAAAAGGAACTTTGATTTCTTCCTTGCCTTAGATCCCAATCTTCAAAAAGCTCCTATGTCCTGCTGTTGCTATCTTGGAAATGTGCCTCAAATCTGCACTCCTGTTTGCTTCCTTTCCCACTGCTGCTTCCTTAGGTTAGGATCCACCATCCAATCCAGAACACTGCCCTGGCCTCCTAACTGGTCTCCTTGCCATGACTCTCTTCTTATGCCATTCTCTGTTTTGCTCATCAAGCCCGCTCTCTAAAAGGGGCCTGATGCCACCTTCCTCTGGTTCAAAACCGTGGACACCTACATAATAAACCAGTTGCCATAGAAGTGACTCTGACTCGTGGCAACCCCATGTGTGTCAGAGCAGAACTATGCTCCATGGGGTTTTCAATGGTTGATTTTTTGGAAGTTGATCACCAAGTCTTTCTTCTGAGGCACCTCTGGGTAGGCTCAAACTGCCAGCCTTTCAGTTAGCAGCCAAGCATGTTAACCATTTGCCCCACCCAGGGACTCCTGTTCACATGACTGTTGTTGTGTGCTTTTGAGTCCATTCCAACTCAGTGAGCCTACAGGACAAAGTAGAACTGCTCCATAGGGTTTTCTAGGCTGTAATCTTTACGGGAGCAGATCGTCAGGTCTTTTCTCCTGTGGAGGGCTGGTGGGTTGGAACCACCAACCTTTTAGTTATCAGCTGAACGCTTAACCATTGCGCTACAAGGGCTCGTTTACATGGTAAACTTGTTGCCATCAAGTTGATTCCAACTCATAGTGACCCTATAGGACAGAACAGAAATCCCCCATTGGGTTTCCAACATTGTAATCTTTCCGGAAGCAGACTGCCATATCTTTCTCCCTTGTGGATTAGAACCCCTGACCTTTCAGGTAGCAGCTGAGTGCTTAACCACTTCGCCACCAGGGCTCATTAATGTGTGCCTGACTCTTTCTGGGGAGAGAGGTCTAAGGAGGACCAGTTTGGTCCCATTTTAGAGTAAGATTCAGAGAGTGATTGAAACCCGGAGCTCACAGATGTGGGCGTTGACAAGGGGAGAGCTGAAGGATTGGAGACAAGTGATGGGCCCTGTTAAGAGAACATGGGACATATACATGGAGCACGGACTGGAATAACTGTGGGGCAGAATTCTAGAGAATGAGTCATTACGACAAGAAAGCAACAGCTACACGGGGCAGGGAGGGGCTGGAGGGAAAAAAATACATTCAGTCATGCTGCAGTGAGATCGGATTTCCACATCTGCCTGCTAAAGACTAAAAATAGGGACATTTGGGGAGAAATATAGTGAGGAATCTTTTAATTCTACCGTCACGCACTATAAGGAGGGCATCTTGCAGGCAAGGGTGTGTCTCTCATCCTGAGTGATAAAATTATAAAGCAGAAAGATTTTATTTTGGGGGCCCTCAGTTTCATGTTTTCCCTTTTCCCTCAGGACTGTGCTCCCCATCATTCCCTGCTATCAAAACCTAATGAATTCCTCCACATACATTTATAAAGCTTAGTGGGGCGATTTTACATTTCAGCAGATGCTTATGTCTGAAGCCAAAGAAACTTAAACACAGCAACCACTTAACAAAAGAAAACAACTCCCCGCCCCCCACAATTTTTATTTAATCCACTGCACCCAGCACAGAGCTAAACACGTGGTTGTTCAATAAGTATTTGCTGAAAGATGTTCAGAAACAGCATTACTTGTATTATCAGTTTCTGGAAACAGTCTAAATATACAACAATGGGGGAATCAAAGAACCGCCCACATGAAGAAATAGTAAATTGCTATAAAAATATTTGGAATGATTTTTTAATGACCTGGAAAAATGCTTATAATGAAACTTTAGGGAAAATAGGCAGGATTAAAATGGCTACCATAATATCTCGTTTCTAAAAATTCATAAGCATATAAAGACGACTTAGAAAATCTGTGGATGTCTCTGGAATCTGCTGGAGTTGGGATGTTACTTCCTTCTTTCTACTTTTCTGAATTTTCTATGATGAGCAAATACTACATTTATTGCTGTTAGTTGCTGTCGAGGTATCTCCAAGTCATGATGACCTTAGGTATAACAGAAAGAAATGTTGCCTACTCCTGTACATCTTCATGATTGTTGGCATATTTGAATGCATTGTTGCAGCCACTGTGTATTTTGAGTGCCGTCCAACCTAGGAGGTTCATCTTCTAGCACTATATTAAACAATATTCTGTTACGATCCATAAGGTTTTCACTGACTAATTTTCAGTAGTAGATCACCAGGCCTTTCTTCCTAGTCTGTCTTAATTTGAAAACTCCACTGAAATTCTGTCCACCATAGATGACACTGCTGGTATCTGAAATATCAGTGGCATAGCTTCCAGCATCACAGCAACACACAAGCCACCACAGTACAACAAATTGACAGATGAGTGGTGGATTACATTTATAATTGGTATAAAATAAATATTACAAAAGTAAACATTGTGAAAAAGTGGTTTTGGGGAGGAAGAACTTTTTTGGGGTGCCCGGAAATCACAGCCTATTGATGTAGTCCAATTGATCTAGTACACAGAGGAGAGGAAGAGGAGATAAGGCCTCTCCAATAATGGAGGCTGGCTGGTCTGTAAGCAGAGGATGGGGAAAAGGCCAGTGCATGGTAATGCTGATGTGATGTGTTGGTTGCCTTTGAATGTAAGCAGCCTTCCTGTGTCAGAGAGTTCACTGTGCCAGGCTAATAGACTCCTCCAGCGTCTAGAATACCTTAGGGCTTCTGGTTCTTCCACATCTTCTTCCTTAAACACCCAAGCCCTGTTCAGGTCTTGAGATCATGTTTATTTTCACCCTTCTCTCACCCCCTTCTTTATAAAGTACAGCTGTAAGATTAATTGAGGTCCCTTTGGGTTGGCACCTCAGTGATCATCTACATTAACATCTTAAATAATTGAGGTTTCGTCCTCTTGCAAGAAAATATTATTTAATATTGCTCCTCTATCATCCAACATATATAAACGGCTCTGTGAGCTTCGTAAAGAGACCACAGAACTCAGCATTTATAAACAAGAAAACGTCTCCATTTTCTTCCAGTTATTTCTGGAAATTCCTTCTAAGCATATGCGTTCTCTTCTTAAGTTGCTTCCCACCTCCTTCCCCTGGGATTTGCTGACTTGTTAAATGTTGCTTCTCTGTGGGATCACAAACTTCATAGCCAGTAAAAAACCAAACAATACCAAAACAAAGCTCAGCAACAGCAGTCCCAACCCTCTCTAAATTTCTAATTTCCTGCCCTTATTAAAAAAAAAAAAAAAAAAAAAAGACCTAGGCTATTTTTTGTGTTTCAAAAATTTAGGCTCTAAATGGAGGGATTTGACACATTTAAAAAGCTAACCAAACCTGATTTTATTTTTACGATTTATTAGTTATCAAAATATCCAAACTCCTGATTAAGGTAGGCTGGCTAGCGGGAGGCAACGCGGAGGTGTGTGGGAGAAGTGTGAAAAGAAGAAATCCCAGCTCTGCCTGGGAGACTGCGTGTGAACGATCCCGACTCCTCCGATAGCTCCAGGCCGCATTTTGCAGGCGGCCGCATCTGCCTCCCCTGTCTCTCTTACCTCCTAGATGTTCGGCACTATTTGTGGCCGGCGTGGTGGAAGGACACAGGGAGGTTCTAACTCTCGTCTCCCGCCCCCTGCTCCCATCCCCAGTTGCATCAAAGCGAACCCGGGCCAGCGCAAGGATCCCCGAGTTGCGAGTGTGCTGAGGCTGGGACTGTCACTCATTTTCCGATCAGCGCGTGAACGCAGCTCCGCAGCCGCTGGCAGGAAAAAATTCTGCAAAAATAATCATACTCAGCCTGGCAATTGTCTGCCCCTAGGTCTGTTGCTCTGCCGCCGTCCACACTCACTGCAAGGGGGGGCACAGAATTTACCGCGGCCAGAACATCCCTCCCAGCCAGCAGACTACAATGCTCCAAACTAAGGATCTCATCTGGACTTTGTTTTTCCTGGCAACTGCAGGTACATTTTTTTTTTTTTCCTCAATCTAATTTGCTAAGTGCTCCCTTCCCCCTACTCCTCCCTCAGGGAACACTGTGATTTGGGGAGGTTTTCCGTGGAATGCTAGAGCTGGTCATTTTCGTGGAGCTGAGAAAGGAGCGCGTCGCCCTTGCTGCCCACCCGGACCCCGCGCCCTCACGGGCTGCGCTGGTCCCAGGCTGCCTCCCCGCGTAGCAAACGCCGGGCGCCCCTCCAGCTCGCCCGCCCTCCCGTCCTTCCCACTTTGTGTGCTCGCGGCGGTGGGAGCGGAGCCCACCGGCTCCCTGGGACGCTGCGGCCGCGCCGGTGATGGGCAGCGCTCCTTCCCCGAAGGCGGGCGGGGCTGCCGTGGCTCGGTTGGTGCCACCTCACGGGCTTAGTTTCTGCGGGGAAGGGGCTTGTCAGCTCGGGTTCTGAAAAGAGTGAACAATACGGTCGGGACAGCTACCCCTGATCGTTATTTCCCTAGGTCTAATAAAGTGCCTTCGGTCTCTCCCGCCCCCCGGCAGAATAACGGTTTGCAAAATCGAGAGAAACGGGCCGAATCGCGGGGCTGTGTGGCCGTTGTTGCACCCCCGTCTATATGACGTTAGTTTTTTATTTGCCAAATTGCTGGCGAGTTACAAACCCTGCTCTCGGCCGGGAGCATCGAGGGATGGGAGGGTCGAGCGGCGCGTTTTGACAGGAGGAAGTGCGGAAGGGCGGAGGGCGAGGAGGGCGTGATCCGGCCTGCTTGGTGTGTGCGCGCGCGCGTGTGTGCGCGTGTGCCTTTACACGCGCCGCGAGCCTAGTGTTGCGCGGTGCGAGAAAAGAATAGCAGGTAGTGGCCCGGAACACCTCGCCCCTGGCTCCTTTCTTTGGGTGAGGTTCCTAATCCTTGTAAAGTGCGAACAATAGGCAGCTGGAAGGAAGATAGTAGTGATGCTGCCACGGGCGGCGGTTGCTGCGCCGCCGCCCAGAGAACCTCGGCAGCCAGCTGGGAGGTTCATTTCATTTTGGGTATTCCATCCCGGCCTCCCTAGAACGTTCTTCTGTGCGCGCCCACCCACCCCTCCAGCTGCTCCCTCCACCCCTCACCCAAGGATTTGCGCTTCGGCGCTTATGGACAGAAGAGGAGGAAGACAAGGAGCAGGGGCCGCAGAGTTGGGTGGGGTGGGCGGACATTCTGGGCCGGGAGCGTGTGTGAAGAAGTGCTCGAGCGCCCGGGGAGAGCCGGGCGGAGGGCGCTGTGTGTCGGCGTCGCCGCTGCCTGGTGCCGCCAGACCTGCCCTAGAGGGCCAAGTCCGGGTGGGGGAGAGCGCGCGGGGCGACCCAGGGAGCACCCAGCGCGCCCCCTCCCCGGGCGGCACAAGAGCAGCGCTCCGCCGCTACCTCTAGCCAACTCCAGTCCCTCCCATGGCGACCAATCAGAGGGAGGCTGGCTGGGCGGGAAGCCGCGAGAGGCTTTTATTGAGGCGCGGGTGGCGGCCCGGAGCTGCCAGGACCGTCTCTTGCAGTTCCAGGCTAACGGTCTCACTTACCCCCTGCCGGGAGAAACCCCGCCCTCGGGCGGGTGCCCCTCCTGCTCCGCAGTTTCTGAGGAAATAAAATGGAGACTAGGTGGTCACCAGGAGGGCTCCTTGTCCGGCCCGCCCTTGCTTGGCCCAGGCGTGCCTCTTTCACGCCGACGTGGAGCGGACTCCTACCCACCCTTCCCGCACACACACACTAGTGCTGCCTTTCGGGGTCCGAGCGCGTCGCATTGTAAGATGACGCCTGGAGCGGCCCGGGGCGCAGCGGCCGGGCGCAGCGGCGCGCTTGCGCTGACCAGCGGGTCGCGGGCCTTGAGGGGTACCAGGGGCCGACCCCAGCCAGGCGGGCATTAGGAGTCGTGTGTTTCTGCGGCCACCTCGTCGGGGGCCCCCCTGGTGCTTCCCTTTTCTTTCGTGCTCGTGCGTCCCGGCGGCGCGACCTCCCCGCATGGTCGGGGGTGTGTGTTGGGACCTCCTCCCCTCTGGTGGAGGCTTGACATTGGGGACCTGATTTTTGGTGGGCCTTTTTGGGAATTGCCTGGCCGTTCTTTCCATCATCGTAACGGCTGTTACGCCCAATGTTTCGATCTCTAGGGAGTTGCACGCCGAGTACACGCCCAGGGAATCCTAGATTGGGGTCTTTTGGATGTTTGTGGATGCCCAGGCAAGGGTGGCATTCTGACCAATGCTCATAGTGTTTTCTGGAATGAGCGTCTTCATTCCTTGCCAGGGAGGTAACCAGTACTGTGAGGACAGGAGGAAGGCAGAATGTGCAACACATACAAGATTGCTTAACAAAAGAAAGAAGTTGAATGGTTTTCGAAAGAGAATTAATTTTTTCATTATTGTTTCTACTGTAGTTTAAAAAAATTTCAAGTTAAAGGATCGTAAAAATAATATAACTGTGTGTGTGTCTGTGTAGACACACAGACACACACTCACTTTTTTTTTTTTAGCCTCAAATGTTGTAGCACCTCCGGGGACAATGGTAATTCAGGCAAATGGACTCCAGCTCTGTGAATGTGAAAATTTACATGTAAGATGTGCTAATCTTATTATAGCAAACCAGTCAGGTCTGCTGCCCGTCTCTCATTTTGATGTCTGTGCTCCTTAAAGTGAAAGGTCGTGGAATTGCATAGTAAATTTGAGTATATTCTATCATCAGTTTTGGATGGTGTGTGGACAAATTGTTTGTTGGAATGATCTGGAGTGGTTGTTAGATCAAGTGTTTATTTGATAATTTTACAGTCCTCTGCCAGTTTAACTTTTAAGAATCACGGTATGGGCACGACTGGTTTTCTAGCAAGATAGCACCAGATTAAGAACAAAGACCACCTTTGCTATCTCACGAAAGCTAACACATCTTTGAAATACATATATATAACATCTCTCGATAAATGAATTAAGATGTGTTTCAGCGAAGTTTGCTGTGGTACAGTTACGGTGAGCCCTATTTTTCTTCTTGATTTTCATTTGAAGATTGGAAATGTGTCTTTCTGAACAAAATTTAGCTGAATGTAATAAAGCCATGCTTAAGAATGTAGAAGACCTTACACAACTCTGTTCAAAACCTAAAAAGATAATTTTCATCCAACAATGTGGGAAATATTAGCGTATTTAAAAATACTGAAAATAAGCTAGAATTTATTTAAAATATAACAGAGTTAAAAACAAAAAGGGACTATAATCCAGGCATTGTAAAAGTGTGACTTTAATTTATTTGTTTTTAAATTACTGTTTCCATTACAAAGGCCCTAATGATCTAGCAACCTTGCTAAGTTCTTGCTAGTCTAAAACTTGTATTATTTTTTAAGTTAATTTTTCAGGAAGTTTCCTCCTTTTTCTCCCGACTGATTTAGCTTGATGGCTGCTTTCTAGATACCTTTACTAAGAATCTTTTTTTTTAAATGAATACTGGGTGAAAAGAAAATAGCAGTACATAAACTAAGATCTGAACTATAAGGTCCTTGTTCACTAAAGGAGGTTCACCCAGTTTTTCCTGGGCTGAATGATTCAACTAAGGGCTTGTTAATTTAATGGGTGACTGATTTCTTGGATTTGACAGTTCAGGAATTAGGGTCGTAATTGTTTGCAAAAAACTAAAAAATATATTTTGTGTGTATGCTATACACAAGTGATATGGGTGCTTATGCAAGGCAACTTTAATAGGGAGAAATCAGTCACGTGAAACACCCAAATTCTAAGGACTTTGCATAGTGCTTCTCTTTGAAATACACTTATCATTAAATGAATTCCTCAGATGGATAGTGTGTAATTTAATATAAGTAATCTATATCTGCATTTTTCTGTCACAGGGAACAGCGTCTTAATTGCCTCTCAAAATAAATAGCACCATTTTGTCATTCAGAAACTAATCTTTAGACATGACGGATGTTTTTGTTCATTACAGAATTCAGTTTCTTAAATTATAGACAGCATTTGGTAAACTTTACACTGCTTGAAATATGGACTTTGGAGTTTCTGATCCAGCCAGTTCATTTTTTAAGATGATGAAGCCTCTAGTTTAATATTAACTGGATGAATTCCACATATTTATGTCTCCAGTGTTAAAAGAACTGTGGCTGTGCTCCGTGCTGCAAGTGGCTTCAGTGCTACTGGCAGACCTCCAAAGATATTTTATAGACGGTCTTTCCTGTCTTCATATAAAATAAGTGATTGACTACCTGTTGCCAAGGAAAGGTTTGAACTTTCCATGATGATCTTGGGTTTGTGGTGATGGAGAGCAGAACCAGTTGACAGGGAGGGAGAAGGGACCGGACCTGCTTCTGTCAGTCTGCTGGGAACAGTCACAGCCTGGCAGGAGACAAAGGCATTTTAAGAAGGTTCTCCTGTACTATTGAAGTATTGAGTTTTTGAGCACACAAGTATTTTATGGCATCAAGATAAACATTTTAATGGAAATTCTATAATCAATAATTCTTCAGTTTAGTGATCTACCAAATATATATAGGTGAAGGAATGCCTGGAACTTTAAGAGAGATGGCAGCAAATGAGGGGTAGCGTTTTAGTAGTCTTAAAAAGGGGTTACAAACCAAACAAAACTGAGAACAATAATGAGCTGGTTATATAATAATGACCGTTTGAGCTTTGAATAAAAAAGGCTAAGATTAGGGTTTCTGTGGCTAAAAAAGGAACCATTCTGAGTAACATTCAGAGGAAGAGAATTTTATGCTTCTCCTAAAATACTCAACAAGTCTCTGAGCAATATTGTAAGAGCTGGGATCTTAGGAAGGCGAAATCTCCCAAGAACCTCTCTGAATCTTTATAGTTAAGTCTGCATGAGGTCCAGAGTTTTTAATATTAAAAAGCAATGATGTGAAACTATTATCAATAATACTGGTAGCTATACTCACTACTGTAGGGCAGTAGAATACAGAGATGAATCTGAAGGTCACAGACATGCTACCTCTAGTCCTTGTTGTTATTAACTCTTGGTGCCAAACCTTAAAA